CACGGCTAGTAAGTAACAGAGCCAGCACTTGAACCTAGGATGTCCAGCCCCAGAGCCCTTGCACTTAACCATCATGCCTTTTGTTTACAAAGAAAGGAAAGGAGGAAATAGCAAAGAAGATCCAGTAGGAGAGAATTCTCAGAAATAGAAAAAGTTACAGTCAATGGGACATTGGGCCACTTGCCTCAAGACCCACCATCCCAGGAAAGAGGAGGGTCAGGGGAAAATCTTGCTGACCAAACTGATGTAGGAATTGCCACCAAAGTCAAGTTGTAGTCAGACCCTCAGCCACACCCTAGAGTACAGTGATCTACTCAAAGGTTGTAGGAACACAGTTAGGAAAGTGAAGGCTTGCAAAAGTCAGTGGGGCAACAGAACAGTCTGATTTTTCTTTTTTAAATCAGACAGAGGCACTAACTAACTAAAGACATGCGTAAGACAAGTCATCAATATGTCCATTGTAACCTATCACTTTCTGCTATGACTGGTCAATTGGATGGAGTACGTCTGCGATGGGTAGGCTGCAGGTCACATCCACACAAAGAAGCTTTCCAGGAAGGCCCAGTGAGAGGGGATCTGGTGTGATGGGTGAGGACTTGAGCTCTGGGGTCACAGGCTGAACCAGTCACTTAACTTCTCCAAGCCTCAGTTTCCTCATCTGAAAGTGGAGGTAACCATCCCCACCTGGCAAGGTGTGGTCAAGTCAAAGGAGAGACCACAGGTAAAGTATTAGCATAGGGCAGAGCCTGGCACAGAGTCAGGTTCAGTGAATGGTAGGGCACATTTTTATTATCAGCAGGTCTACTTGATGTGAATTATAAAAAGAGGTTGAGTAACAAGTTAAGTGCATTTCAAAGACACATTGAAGGGAAAATGAAGGCCAGAAAAGCAGAAGGTCTGAGGAAAGCACATCACAGTAAATGCATTTTGATGTCTGTCTATGGTCACATGGGCTTATGTATGAGAAAGAGCTTTGTAAGCCTCGGTGCCCTAGGTGATATCGTTGCTCTGTGGCTGTGCAGGTCTAGGGCAGTGTGTGGGAATGGATGTCCTCACACAGCATGCTAGTTGGACTTCTGATTCCATCTGCGAATTACGGCAAGTGGAGCTTGGTCACAAGGAGCACATGTTACTGGAGGACACACGGGTCTGTGTAATCCCGGGAGGGCGGGGGAGATATCCTACAAACATGGTGACCAAGACCACTTGGGACGATGGAGAAACCACTCCGAGCACTGGGAAAAGGCCTGGTGAGGAACCAGAGGCACAGGTCCTAGAACAAGCCCTGAGACTTTGGCCAAGTTTTTTAACATCTTGGACTTGGTTTACTCATCCTCCGAGTGGATAAAGTAATCCCTGCCCTATCTTCCTCCATGACCCTGGAGGGGATCAATAAAACAATGGATGTGAAAGTGTTTTGTAAACTCTGTAGTGCAAGCACCTGGCCAGGGGGTGGAAAAGTGAGCCATATTTTCACCAATGACATGAGTGAAGAGATAGAGAAAAGGCTCAGACCTTCCGGGAATGAGAGAGGGGCTGGACCCTGGATTGGGAGAGAGAAGCAATGGTGGGATCAATATCTTGGAGAGCCAAGGACCAAGAGGTTAAGGGTCAATGAGGACAGGCCTGGATCATAGGAAGCTGAGTGTGGTAAGAGTGTGGCTTCATCAGGGTTTGGGTGGAGTAGAGTCAACCCAAGACCACAGTAAATGGAATCCCAGAATTATCTGAAGGTTAACTAGCAAGTCAGTTGACAATCTGGGACCAGAGCTCAGGTTTTCCAATGCCCAGTCCTATATATCAGCTTCCCAAATTGGCTCTTCATGCAGGAAAGAACAGAGGGGCAAGGTGGGCTTTAAGGATGTGATATCACAGGTAAGACGACCCCCTAATCTAACAAGACCTCCCCCAGCTTCCCAACGATGTCTAAATCCCTCCTTTACCAACTCACTCACAGGACTTCAAGAGTCTCAAGGTTGAAGTCACCTAGTACACCTCCCCTCTCAACCTCCAAGGAAGGGTCTGCTGAACACTCCAGTGACAAAGAACTCCTCATCATGGTCCATAGCAGAAGGTTCTCCATTAGATCAGGTTGACATATTTGTCTCACTGTAGTTTTCTACCATGTGTCCCAGTATACGCATCCAGGTGCTCTGCCACAGGACATCTCTTTGAATAACTGAGGACAGCTCCCATGCCTCTTTCCCCACTATGATTTTCCAGACCACATCTCCCGTGGTTGGTTTTCCAGCATTGTTCCTCCTCATTTCCCGGGTCCACTATTCTGTCTGTTTGGTCTTCTCCTGAAAGTGTTATCTAACACTGTGTACAATATGCCGGGGGCACAATCATTATAGCAAATGAATCATTTCCTGCATCCTAGGGTGCCATAGCTGCATCAATGTGTCCTCAGATCACAATGTTTTTTTCTGCATTTACCATACAGGCTCCCGTGTAACATTGTGTTAACTAAGACACCACTAATTTACACATAGGCTCTACAGAGCACCACCCTTGCATGTCTCACACTCTAGCCTTTAGAGATCTAAGTACAGGACCTCACACTTCTTGCCAGGAAATTTCACCTTTTTACATTCAACCCACAATTCTTAGCAGCCCAGATCTTTCTGGAACCTGGTTCTGTCTCCCCAGTGTATTCTTTCTCCCTCCCAGCTTCTGCCCCCTGCAAAGAGGCCCTTTGCCTCTCCCTCTAAGTCCCTGAAGCCCTCACCAGGCTGGATTCCTCCCCTGGCCATCTGCTCCTTGGAATACATGATCCCACACCTTCTTACCCCATGAGGTCTAGAGAGCATAACAACGGCATGGACCATGCTCATACCAGAATGTTAAGGGACTAAAGCAGGGTACCATTCAATTCCAAAGGGCACAGAGAAAAGAGGAGATTAAGACAAAGCATTATAAATAGTGGCCTTTGTGTAATGAGACTGTAGGTGACTTTTCCCCATGTTTCATTACATGCTTAGTTCAACTAATATTTCATGGAGCCCTTACTGTGTATTTTCCAAATTTTCTATGCTGAGTGTGTTATTTGGAAAACCAGAAAAAAATAAAGTGAAGATGAAATGAAAAGAGTGAAGACTCTTT